TCAGCATGTGGGTTCAGCATGAGGGAAGAGGCTGCCTTTATTTTTTTTAAATTGTGCACCTGTATTGCGAGCCGCCAGTTTAGCATTACGTTAGTGCTGAAGGGTGGTTGGGAGAGGGGGGGGGGGGGGGGGGGGGGGTGGGGGGGGCACCACTTGGTTCTGTTGACGGGGCAGGGCGCCCTGCTTGTATAATGGTAGGGGAAACACTGCTGGTTCAGATAAAGTAAACTTTTACCTTGGAAGGTGAATGTTAGAGATGCACCAATCCGATACCAATATCGGTATCGGTACAGATATTGGAAAAAACTTGTGGATCGGGTACCGGTGACAATGTGACAGATCCATGACTCAGCAGATCTATTCACTCTAGTTCTATGCTTTGTGCTCTGAGTGACGTCACGCTCTAGTGTACTGACTGAACAAATTAAAGTTGTGTTGTTTTTACATGTTTGACCAAGCTTGTGAAGATCTTGGTGTGTTTAAGTGTGCTGCTCTGGTGCACAGTTTTCAATAAATATGTAATTCAGTACATTCATGTCTGCGTTTAAAAAAACAAAAGTTTTAAGTTAATTCAGCACTGGGTTTCTGTATCAGATTGGCATTGGATCAGTATCGGCAAATACTAAACCACAGGTATCGGTATCGGAAGTGAAAAAAAAAAAGTGGATCGGTGCATCCCTAGTTAATGTGTTATACAGGGAATAGGTTAAAATACAATAAAAATTTCAGATGTCAGAAAAATCTGATTCTCAAACGATCAGGTGTAGATTTCATCAAATCTAATAACACAAAGCTTTGAAGGAACAGTCAGAATACAGAAAGTCAACACATTACAAGTACACAAAACTCCCAATGCTTGCTCTGCCTTGGTTCTGATCCTAGTCTTGTCCTAGTGTTTACAGAACCAAACTCAGACAGATACTATAAAGAACAGTCTCACAAAAGAAAACATCCTCAAGGTTCCTTACAGTGGAGGGGAATGATAAACATCTGGCCAGCTGTTACTGACACCATCATTCCACAAACAGTGATACCAAAGCATTATAATAACATACCATTCAGATCAAATGACACAGAATAAGATAAGATGGCTCACACTTAAGGATCATTATATAATGAAGTATCACACACACATACATGTTTCCCCTGACAAAAACATAAACAGCATTCAGAATACACAACCTACAGATGTGGACAGTAACCGTGGTAACGGACCACAAACCTCCACACCTCACAGACTATTTAACAACAAACCTGAGAACTGAACACTTTAGTTCTGTGTGACCTCTTGTGGGTCTTTAATAGGTCATGGGACAAATCCTGTACTGGTTTTTGAGTTTGTGGCAACTCACTGGGAGCAAACAAACTCCACTTGAGTTGGGTGCAGGATGGTGTCAGGTAATTTTAGCTTCATGTATAAAAGTAGCCTAATACTACAGTAAAGTTGGAGTTTAACCTGGGCAATTATGACATTGTTTCATCCATATTTTGATGTTAACACGTGATGTAAACATTATTCAGCTTACAGGAATGACATTGTAGTAATTTATAAAAAACTATAAGGTTAGTCTCATTAAAACACAATTAGTTCATCTGCATGAGAGACCTGTTAATTAAACAAGTAACTAACTGATTAAATCACAATTCTCTCAGGAATTAACACAAATAACATTTCATGGGGTCTGACTGTTTGAAAAACAAGTAATTTGATTGGTTGGTTGGTTCTCTCCACATATTGCACAACCACTGAACCAGTATTTTAGAAACAACATCTATAGTTCAAATTATGATCTAAGATTTAATTAGTTTGTTTTTAAAGTATTCTTAAGAAACTAGGAGCAAATCATAGATTAGAAACTTGTTGAAAACTGTCACAGAAAATCTGTTACAAAATCAAAAAAATTTTTTTTCGCGTGATAAGATACCAGTTGCATCTCATGGCCTATAATAGTTATTTTAATATTTTCTGTCAAAAAGTATTCACTCCTGTGTGGACACTCATGTGTCTGTTTAAATCTGTCTTATGACTAAATCATTGTCCACAAAGTTCACAAGGAAATGGCTTGTGTCCCGAGAGCAAATCATAGATTGGAAACTTGTTGAAAACTGTCACAGAAAATCTGTTACAAAATTTAAAAAAAATTATTTTAATTGCGTGATAAGATACCAGTTGCATCTCATACCCTATAATAATATAGGCCACTCGTCTACTGCCCACCTCGATCTAAGGACTTCATAAATGAGTTTTCTGACTTCTTTAGCTGAAATCACACCAAAATATGAGCATGTTTTCATTATTGGGGACTTTAATTTGCACGTGTGCTGTCCTGAGAAGCCCTTGGTTAAGGACTTTTTAGATTTATTGGACTCATTTAATCTAACGCAGCATGTAAACGGTCCCACCCAAGAGCGTGGACATACACTGGACCTTGTTTTAACTCATGATGTGACTGTTAATAATCTTGTTATTGGTGATAATGTTTTTTCAGACCACATGCCAGTCCTGTTTGAGTTCACCCTCCCCCATCTAATTCCTAAGTTGTGTATTCCTGCAACGTAGTACCCGGGCAATTAACCATTTCATCACCACATGTTTCACAGATGTTTATAACTCTGAAATGATAATTCAGCCCCCGGTGTTTCTCACTACTACTGAGCAGCTGACATCCCAGTTCAACTCTGTCTGCTTAAAGACTAAGGATCATGTTGCGCCTGTTAAAACTAGAAAATCAGAACTGAGAGCAGAACCTTGGCTGAGTGACGTCACCAAGGCCGTTAGGCAGCAATGTAGGAGGGCAGAGCGAAAGTGGAGGAAAGACTGGCTGCAGGTCTCTTTTCAAATACTTAAAGAGAGTTGGCGCCGTTATCAGAAAACAGTGAAAGCTGCTAAATCCAAATACTTCTCTGATATCATAACCTCAAACTCTCACAATCCACGTGTCCTCTTCTCCACCCTAAACTCTGTTCTCCACCTCACTGAACCATCACCTCCGGAAGCCTGGACTGAGCTGTGCAACAACTTCCTACATTTCTTTTTGGAAAAAATTGCGACCACCAGGGCTCTCATTTCCCCTCCAACTCATGACCCATCCATCCCACCTCAATCTGTAGCTCCATTTTACCATTTTGAACCCATCACTCTATCTTCTCTAGAGCAGGTCATGTGCAGCTTGAAACCTTCTGGTTCCCCCTTTGATGTGGTCCCCCCTCGACTACTAAAGGAGGTTTTTCCTACTCTAGGTCCGTCCATTCTTGATATAGTAAACAGTAGTTTATCCACTGGCGTGGTGCCAAAATCCTTTAAACATGCTGCTGTCCAGCCTCTCCTAAAGAAACCAAACCTTGACCTCTCAGTCGTGTCCAACTTCCAACCTGTCTCCAAACTCCCATTTGTTTCTAAAGTACTGGAGAAAATAGTTGAGTCCCAGTTGAAGTGCTTCCTGGAAGGTCACACCATCTTAGAGCTATTCCAATCTGGCTTTAAACCTCTCCACAGCACTGAAACTGCCCTGCTGAATGTCTTTAACAACATCTTCAGATCCACAGATACTGGTGATTCTGTGCTGCTTGTCCTGTTGGACCTCACGGCCGCCTTTGACACCATCGACCATGAGATCCTCATTGCTAGGTTAGAGCAGTGGGTGGGCGTCACAGGGTCAGCCCTCAATTGGTTCAGATCTTACCTCACTGACAGATCCTTTTGTGTCTCCATCAAGGATTTTAGTTCCGCAGAGGCAGAGCTTAAATGGGGGGTTCCGCAGGGGTCCATCCTGGGTCCCCTCCTATTCTCTTTATACCTGCTGCCGCTTGGTGCTATTTTCTGGAAACACAACATGCCCTTCCACTTCTATGCCGATAACAGTCAAATTTACTTCCCCCTAAGACAACAATGGCACATGCTCTATTCAACCGCTGCTCGACTACCTGGCTGACATCAGGGACTGGATGGCTTTAAACTTCTTAAGTTTCAATAAAAAGAAGTCTGAAGTCATGTTGTTCCCTCCTAACGACACGATCACAAACCACTGCATCGACCTCTCCGCTCTAACCCTGTCAGAAAAAAAAAAGAGTCACTAATCTGGGAGTGATAATGGACCCTTCCCTGAAACTTAACAATCATGTAAACATGATTGTTAAATGATGTTTCTTCCAACTGAGGCAGCTGTCTAAACTGAAGCCCATATTGTCCAAAAATAACCTGGAGACAACAATACATGCATTCATTACATCCAGGCTTGATTACTGCAATTCGCTCCTGTTTGGTATCAGTCAAACCTCCATTGCACGACTACAACTGGTCCAGAATGCAGCAGCCCGGTTTTTAACCAGTACAGGCAAAAGAGAGCACATTAAACCAGTTTTGGCCTCACTGCACTCCATTTCACTTTGAAATCCAGTTCAAAATACTGATGTATGTCTACAAATCACTGAACAGTTTCCCCACCCCCCCATCTCTCTGATCTGCTACAACCGTATGTCCCACCACATTCCCTGAGGTCAGTGGACCAGTTGCTCCTCACAGTTCCAGGAACTCGTCTTAAGCGCAGAGGTGACAGGGCCTTCTCTGTAGCAGGACCAAGACTTTGGAACGTGTTACCTCTGCTTGTCAGACAGGCCCCCTCCCTCTTGGGTTTCAAGTCCCGTTTAAAATCTCACTACTATTCAGTAGCTTTCAACACCAGATGACCTGTGTTTTGATCCTGTATGCTCCACACTGGTTAGTCATAATTATCTGCATCATTTTTATGTCTATATTCTGATTCACCTGATTTTGTATTTTGCTTTGTGTGTTACCTGTTGTTTTGTCTGTACAGCACTTTGGTTGGCCTTGTCGCTGTTTTAAGTGCTGCATAAATAAAGTGGTATGGTATGGTATAATAGGCATACTGTCAGAAAGTTTTCACTCCTGTGTGGACTCTCATGTGTTTGTTTAAAGATGTCTTCTGACTAAATCTTTGTCCACAAAGTTCACAAGGAAACGGTTTGTCTCCAGTGTGGACTCTCATGTGTGTGTCTAAATTTGTCTTCCGACTAAATCTTTGTCCACAAAGTTCACAAGGAAATGGCTTGTCTCCTGTGTGGACGCTCATGTGTGTGTCTAAATTTGTCTTCCGACTAAATCTTTGTCCACAATGTTCACAAGGAAAAGGCTTATCTCCTGTGTGGACTCTCATGTGTCTGTTTAAATCTGTCTTATGACTAAATCTTTGTCCACAAAGTTCACAAGGAAATGGCTTGTCTCCTGTGTGGACCCTCATGTGTGTGTTTAAATATGTCTTCCAACTAAATCTTTCTCCACAAAGTTCACAAGGAAATGGCTTGTCTCCTGTGTGGACTCTCATGTGTGTGTTTAAATATGTCTTCCAACTAAATCTTTGTCCACAAAGTTCACAAGGAAATGGCTTGTCTCCTGTGTGGACTCTCATGTGTGAGTTTAAATATGCCTTCAGACTAAATCTTTGTCCACAAAGTTCACAAGAAAATGGCTTTTCTCCTGTGTGGACTGTATTGTGTGATTTTAAATATGCCTTCTGACTAAACCTTTGTCCACAAAGTTCACAAGGAAATGGCTTTTCTCCTGTGTGGACTCTCATGTGTCTGTTTAAATGCGTCTTCTGTCTAAACCTTTGTCCACAAAGTTCACAAGGAAATGGCTTTTCTCCTGTGTGGACTCTCATGTGTTTCTTTAATTTTGTCTTATGATTAAACATTTGTCCACAAAGTTCACAAGGAAACGGCTTGTCTCCTGTGTGGACTCTCACGTGAGAGTTTAAAGTTGCCTTGTGACTAAATCTTTGTCCACAAAGTTCACAAGGAAACGGCTTGTCTCCTGTGTGGACTCTCATGTGAGAGTTTAAAGTTGACTTCTGAGGAAATCTTTGTCCACAAAGTTCACAAGGAAATGGCTTGTCTCCTGTGTGGACTCTCATGTGAGAGCTTAAAGTTGACTTATGACTAAATCTTTGTCCACAAAGTTCACAAGGAAACGGCTTGTCTCCTGTGTGGACTCTCATGTGTGTGTCTAAATGTGTTTTCTGACTAAATCTTTGTCCACAAAGTTCACAAGGAAACAGCTTGTCTCCTGTGTGGACTCTCATGTGTGTGTTTAAAGCATTCTTCCAACTAAACCTTTGTCCACAAAGTTCACAAGGAAACGGCTTGTCTCCTGTGTGGACTCTCATGTGTAAGATTAAATGTGATTTGAAAGTAAATCTTTTACCACAGTCATCACAGCTCATTGATTTTGGTCTTGCCTGGACTTTCCTGCGTGACTCTACATTTTTCTTCTCTCCAACACATTTCTTATTAAGCAGACAGCTTGAAGACTTCACTCCTGAATGACTTGTCATGTGTCTTTGAAGAGTCCGGTTACTGACATACTGCTTACCACACTCAGAGCAGCTCAAAGATTTGTTGACAGTTTTTACCTCTGATTCGGGAGCCTTGCTCTCCTTCCAGTCTTTCATACTGCCTTCACGTTCTGATTCAGAGTCTGATGAGTTCTTTAACAGAGAGTCAGGATCAGTCATTTCACCATCCTCTTCATCGTTCTCGTTAACGTCAGTCTTTGAAGAACTGGAACTGCCTTTGTGAATCTTTAAATCTGTGTTCTTGGTAAGTTGTATTTTATCCTCCTCACTCTTTAAAGAAACTGTAGTGACCAAAAACCTGATATTGGTCTCCTCCAAATTGAGTTGGTCTCCCACCAGACTGGTCTAAGGGTCTTTTCTTCCACTCTATGATAAGAGGCTCTGGGTCCTGCTGGTTCACATCAGGCCTTCAGTCTTGAGGAGCTTCTTCTTTTAATCAGCTCTAAACAGAAGCAGGAACCACTGAAACACATGAACATTAAGGACAATGTTACTTCAACACACACACACAATTTTACACTCACAATCACCATATTATGTCTGCATATTATGTCTGCATTTACATTAATACCAACATAATTGTACAAAAGAACAAATTTAAAATCCGAAAAACTAAATTTCAAGTTATTCCGTTCTGAACAAAGGACCACCTGTGACAAATTTACTTTTTAATATCACCCTTTTGAATTTAACGAAGGGCAGCACGGTGGTGCAATTGGCAGAGCTGCTGCCTCTCAGCAAGCAGGTCCCTGGTTCAAATCCCGGTCCAGGGGCCTTTCTGGGTGGAGTTTGCATGTTCTCTCTGTGCATGCGTGAGTTTTCTCCGGGGACTCCGGTTTCCTCCCACAGACCAAAAACATGCATGTTAGACTGATTGGTAACTCTAAATTTTCCCTAGGTGTGAGTGAGAGAGTGAATGGTTGTTTGTCTCGTTTGTCTCTATGTGTCCCTGTGATGGACATGCGACCTGTCCAGGGTGTACCCCGCCCCTCGCACAGTCATTGCTGGACATGGGCACCGGCGACCCCCGTGACCAAAAAATGGAAGAAGCGGGTAAAGAAAATGGATGGATGGATGGATGGATAGTTCATCCAAATCTCCAAAACCATGTTTTTAATGATTTAATACAGTGTAGGACTCAAATTAGCAAATTATGATGAACTACAAACATTTAAAACTGACTCCTTCGCAGAGAACATTTGGAGAGTTTTGGACAAAACAAAAAAACGTTAATCAGACACACCTTTGCTATAGTTTTGTTCATATATACCTATTTTAGTGTTAATATTGTTTATTTCCAAAAACTAAAGCAAAAGAAACGACAAATTATACAGAGACAGGCTGTGCACGCTCCTGTGGGTCACTGTTATAAAAGTCATCAGATGTGTCTCATTGCCTGCTCGTCTCTCTGCTCCTCCTGTGTTCCTCCCTTCTCCCCAGCTCCACCTGTCTGCTCCTCTCCAGCTAATATACTGTAGCATCACCTGCGGGGGCCACGCCTCGTCCTCCTCTCCCTCAGGTGGTGGAAGAATCAGTGAACGTCATTCTGTGGGTTCAGCTTCTCTGACAGATGTTTTTAAAAATCTGCAGCTTCAATATGGTCTCCAGTTCTTTTTCAAACTTGTTCTGACAAATATGTTCTTTTATTTTGAGCACCGCTCTTGAACGTCTTCCACGACATGTGGACAGCTGTCAGTCAATCATTGAGGGACACGCCTCCATTCTAGCAACACACATTCTGATTGGTCAGCTCATGGCCAGTGAGCCCACGTGGGTCACTTTTTATTTGTATCAGCACCACAAACATGCATCTGAAATGATTGACAGAAAACCTGACAAGTTACAAAACGATGTATTTCAGCTCATCACGTGACCTCAAAACAACAGGCCCCCCCAATGCTGTAGGCCCCTGGACTTCAGCCCAGGTCAGCCCGTACATTAAAGCAGCCCAGGAAACAGAGACATTCAACAGCACACAGAACCACTGCTGGATCTGAATCACAGTTTTACCAAGACCCAAGGCCAGGCACCACACTTCTTCTGACTGGTTAGTAGGACTATCTAGTGTGGTTGGGAGTGTAAGCTGCACCTCTGTTAGATCCAGAGAAATGTCTGTTAAATCTCTTGGTGAACTCTATTTATTTTTATCTGCAGGTACACCAGTGATCTGGCACAGTCCCAGAGTCAAGTCAGATTTATTTGTATAGCACATTTAAAACAGGAACTGTTACCAAAGTGTTTATCAGAGCGCCATCAGACCCTGCATGTCTGGTGAACTCTTCTACTTCCTTAGCTTGGATTCTGACTCAGGTATCGTCCACCAGGGCTGGGTAAAAAAAAAATACTTAACTGATTTTAGTTACAGAAGTTATTATGACATTCTGTGTATGTATATATCACAGTAAAACCACTTAAAATATTTTTTGAATGAAACTTGTTGATGACATTGTGAGTTTTTGTTTGTTGTTAGAGCATTTTGATAAGTGGACAGTATTGAAGTGACTGTTCTGATGATATGTCAACAAATATTTAAACTAATATTCCAGAAAGTTTCTATTTCTTAATTCTTGGATATTTTGGTGTAGAGCAGAGGTCACTAATAGGTGGACCTCAGTCCGGATCTGGTCCGAGCGATGGTTCTGACCTGTGCCCAATAAATTCAGGAAAAAAGATGATTTTCATGGAGCATTTTTCCAGCAATAGATAACTAAGGTGTAGAAACAGGGGAGGTGTGTTTTGGAGGTTCACTCTACTTCAGGTGTTACAGTAATAGTGTCACTCAGTTAATGAGCCAATCAAACGTTTTGTTTTCCCTGCACGTCCGGTGCAGCGAGCTCTCAGAGAAGAGTTGAGAAGGAACTAGGGCTGGGTACCTTTCTAAAAAAATCGGTACCGGTGTCAGTACCTTCACTTCAGTGTCGGTGCCTGGACGGTTCTTTTTTTGGTACCAATTTTGTAAATACTATTAATTCGAACAAGAATAATATTACGTTACACATTACAGTACTAATCTTGTTTTATTTTTTAACTTTGGTATTTTTCCATTCCAAGCAGTTTTCTTACATAAAAACAAACAAATAATTTCCAGGTCAAAAGACCAGTTACAAACCAGTGACATGTCAGTGTTTAACACTCACTGCTACACAATGATGACCTTTTCACTTAACATTTTTTTTTTTTAGAAAAATCAACATGTCTGCTTTCTCTGGACACAAACAAGCTCGCTCCTGGCTCATGGTGTCTCCAGCAGTAGAAAATGTTCCCTCTGAGGCTGTAGATGATGATTGTTGCACACACAGATACCTGGTTGTCAGTTTGACAGCACTGACATATTGTCCCTCACATTCCACCAGCAGGTCACTGGATTCAATGAGGTTAGGGTCGATGCAGACTTCTGCACCTCTGTGTCTCTGCCTGAATCTTCTCTGTGGTTCTCTGGGGTTTAGGGCTCTGATCATCTCCCTAATTGACATGAGAACGAAACATCAACAATAACATGGTTGTGTTATTATTGCTCCAAAAAACATTATCTAGGCTGAGAGATAAAAGCTCAACTGGTCAACAAAATCCTTTAAAGTTTAACTTACCTCCACCATGCAGCTCCACTGTAGAAAAAGCTGCAAACTTTTAACAACAAAGTCTGACTGTCCTGTGGCCTCCACCTCACTTTTTTTTGTCCTCCTCACATCAGGGTCAGAGGCTCCTGTGAGGAGAACATGAACATAAACAGTGAACTGTTTAAGCAGCTGACTGGATGGATGAGCAGTTTTATAAGCTAAGATTTATGTTACTGTCAATCTGTAGTTAGCTTCTGAGTTTAGCTAGCTATGTAGATAAAATAAATTTACACACTAATATCTTAAAGTTAGCGTTACATGGATCATAATTTATTTCACCTCAATGTACGTGTTAAGCTGCAGTTACGCTAACAAACGTAAACTCACTAGCTGAAACACAGACACAAGAGACGTCCTCGGAGTTCTTTGATGAAGAGTCCGGTCGTGGAGATAATGAATCAGGACGTTCAGGCTCTCACAGGCTGACTAATGCTGAGAGGAGGAGGGGGAGGAGGAGGAGGAGGGTGGCTGCTGTCCTCTCTCCTCGCAGAAAAACACGGAGCAACTTTCTGCAGCGCGTGTTGTCAAAGCCGTTTGACAACACGCACTACACATGTGAACCCGTCTGTGGGCGTCACCAGCACCATAGACATAATTATACATAGATTAGGTATGGCAGCTCTACACAGCTCTGGGTGTAGTCTGTTTGTCATATGTCTGGTGTTTTGCCTGCCTGCATGCTGAAACCACGTGACACGTTACAGCCAATACCGAAACTTGACACCAAAAGAAGAGTGACGTTTCAATACATACACCGACCGGTGCAGTTCGGTCGATGCCATAAAAGAACCTCGGTTTGGCACTCAGCCTTAGAAAGAACAGAGGAAGAGACAGCATGTTGTGCTCCAAAATAAGAAAAGTTGATGCTGAAAACGGTTGTTTTAAAGATGAATGGACAGAGAAATTAATGTTCATTCTTCCAGCAGGCAGTTCAAAACCTGT